CGGATGGCAGAAAGTAGGTTTGCACAAACGCAGAGGAGGGCAGTAATGGCGGTGACGACGTTGAAACACCGGCAAATCACAATAAATGGGCGACGGAGGCAGAATTGACAGTGGATGGCGGGAAGCCTGGCCTGGTTTCGTGTCTTTCGCCATGAGAGAGCTAGAGAGAAGAATTGATTGCTTTCCTTTCTATCGAACAGCTGTAGAGAAGAAATCAGAGTGGAATATAATATTTCTCGGCTAGGAGGCAACTGGAGAATAACAGTTCTCAGAGTATAATTTATAAAAAAATAACAGTTCTAATAACTTACATAGAAGGGGAGAATTGAGAAGAGAGAGGCCATTAAAGTGCAGAAGAGGCGAAGTAGAGGAGGAAAACATGGAAGCACTTTGGAGCGAGCAAGCTCCGCCGCCGATGTGCTCTAGATTGAGGATCGGCTACTCGCTCTTCAACGGTGTGATGGCTGTCGCGAACTCGTCGAACTCACCTTTTTCCTTTTCCTCCCCTACCCCGACATCCTCTATTCCCAATCCCCCTGAGACGGTTAGGGCAGAGGAAGCTCGTGCTCGGCGAGTAAAGAAGGTGGGAGAAATAACGAAAGCGGGTAAAGAAGGTGGGAGAAATAACGAAGATCAATTTTTCAAGAGTCGGATTGTCTACCGCTTTGGTGTTCCGCGCAGAGTGATTTCCGACAACGGGTCAGCGTTTAAAAGTACTAAGATCAACAGCTACGGGAGTAAAACACTGGAGGGATAACGCGGGCCGCAGGGTCTCACCCGCAGCCGACGTTTCGCTCAAATTTGCGGCCGCCGCGAGGGAAACGCAGCGCCAAACGATCTTAAACTACGCAGAGCAACCGCACTACGTAGAGCAGCCGCACCAAACGGGCCCTAAGTGATCGTAGTGGTTGACAATTTTTCAATGATGGCTCATTTTATATCTTGCCACAAGACACGGGATGAATCACATGTAGTAGACTTGTATTTTTGAGAGATAATGAGACAACATGCCATACCAAGAACTATTAATTTTGGCAAAGATGTCAAGTTCCCAAGCCACTTTTTGAGGACCTTATGGAAAAGCTTAGCACTATGCTTTAGGTCAACTCGACAGCTCACCCACAAACAAATGATTAGACAAAGGTGGTGCATATGAGTTTGGGGAAACTCCAAAGGTGCTTAATAAGGAATAACATCAACCAATGGGATTTGATTCTAGCCCAAGCCGAATTTACTTACAACAGGTCTGTGAATCAGATTACAAGACATACCCCCTTTGAGATTGTGTATGGGTGGTGCAACCCACTTACCGCACTTGAATTGGTGTCATTTATTCCTGCTACAGAGAAACGTGTGAATGCTTAAGCCAGAGTGTAGAAGATTGAGAGACTACAATAGGAGGTGGGGAAGAAATCACCAAAAAGAACCACAAATACCAGGAACAAGTTAATAAAACAAGGAAGAAAGTGACTTTTCAAAAGGGAGATATAATGTGGATCGGTTGAATAAAGAGAAGTTTTTGTGAGATCTTTTGTAAAACTCAAATCTAGAGTAAATGGTCCTTTGAAAATCTTCAAGAAGTTGAATGACGACGCCTACAAAATTGATTTACCAAGGGATTATAACGTTTATGCTAACTTTAAAGTGGCAACACATCATACTATGAGTAAACATAAGCTTCAATGGATGAGGTTGAAACATCTCCAACCCTGGGAGAAGGACGTGGGGCGTCGGTGTCAAGATCTTGGAACGATTCAGTCCAGGTATTGTGAGGGTCGGTCAGCCCTACGTTGGGGAGTAGCACCTATTCTTCTAAGAGGAGCCCACTCACAGTTGTCCTAGGACTATATATTTTTTTTGTCATGTTTAAGGTTTAGTTTTTTGTTTTGCTCATTTCGGAATAGTCGTCAGCGTCTCATTTTCCCTTCTAGTTCTATATCCCAGGGTTCCAAGTGGTGCTCCGGTTGTATCTCGGTCTTGAGGTGATGTGTATTCTCTTCTACACATCTCCTACTCTCTCCTACATCAATTCCCTTCATCCTCTCTGAAGTCCCTCTTATACCACCCTGAAAAGCAACCCAGCTGCAGATTTTCCTCAGCCCCGGCCCAAACTTCCCAACCATTTATTTTCCTTCCTCTTTGCGATCGACAACCAAAACCACCCCTACGCTATTGTTCCTACAATCAATCTGCTATCCAAGCCTTTGAAAACAACCACCTTACTGTTTCCTGCTTGTCAACCGCCTCATTCCACCACGCCGAGACTCCAGACCTCTGTCTGACACTACCTCCACCTGAGATCCAACCCTAGCACTAGCGTTGTGTTGTTGCAATTCCAAATTTCCCACATTATTTTGTTGTAATTTAATAGTGAAATTCAATAAAACAATTTGACTCTCTTCAAGCTATATTAAGGAGAGATGTGTCATCCTTTGACTCTCATCACACCTATTTCTCTCAGTCCCTCATTACATCATATTCAGAAGAGCTATGCCTCTTGACTTTCCTCACCCTATATTGAGGGAAAGTATCTCTCGATCCTCACCCTATATTAAGGAGAAGCTCATTTCAAACATTTCTCACACTATATTAAGAAGAGTTTCACTTATTTATTCTCCTCATACCATATTGAAGATAATATCTTGATAGACTCTTCCTCAAATCATATTGAGAAAATTCTACATATCTGGATTTTTGTCTCATTGTATCAAGGGGAATATTCTCTTGACCTCTCTTCACACCATAATGAAAGTAGTATTGAAGAGAATTACCATTGCTTGATCTCCCTCGCATTATATTGAGGAAAATCATCCCCTAGCTCTTTCTTACACAATATTGAGAAAAATCATCTTTTGGATTCCTCACACTAAATTGAGGAGAGTATACCTCTTGGTCTCCCTGACACTATATTGAGATAAATCCTCAACTGATTCTTCATAAAATCATACTAAGAAAAATTATCTTTTAAACTCCTCACGATATATTGAGTTATATATGTGACTGTCTCTTGATCTCCCTCATACTATATAACAACAACAACAACAACAAGCCTTTATCCCGCTAAGCAGGATCGCTACATGAATCCTTTTTCTCCATTGTGTCCTATTGAATGTCATATCTTCATTTAATTCTAAGGATCATTTTTTATACAATATGCTCAGGTCTTTTTAGGTCTACCTCTACCTTTCTTAGTATTAGTCGAATCAAAAAAATCTACTCTCCTAACTGGATCATCCCTTCACTTTGTATTGAAGAAAATCATCCAATGGTTATTCGTCACAATATATTGAGGAAAACTAGCTTTTAGACTCCTCACATTATATTAAAAATAGTCCGTGTCTCTAGATCGCACTCACATTATTGAGAAAAACCAGATGATGCCATAGTAAACTCAGAACCCAATAGAAGCAAATATTATTACACAAAAGCAAATAGAATTACAATCACTGAAACTTGAAATCAGAAAGCACGACAAAAACACAAATAACCTGATAGGGCAAGGTGGGAAGGTGGATGTGGCTAGAGAAGTAGAGTTTGTGAGGGCTATCCAGCTGCCCTGGTCATATATCAAAAAAACATGTCTCCCAGATATCATATGTGGTACTTCGTTCAACGACATATCAAAAAACGTGTCTCCCAAATTAGAAATTATCGAATTAAGGTTTATGGTCAATCTCCCCCTTTCTCATATGTGTTAATTAGAGAATACTACCCCTTCAAAGTTTGACCAGAACCTCCTTCAGAAAGATGCTCGTCTTCATCTTTTAAATGTTCTCATTAAATTTCTCAATTTCATATTTAATAGAGTTGGAAAAAGGCTTTCATTATGCCATTTCCTAGGTTCAATCTAGTTACTCTGATGCCAGCTTGTTCCAAAGAAAGTACCCAAATCATCCCTCTTTTAAGTGTCAATACATATAATATAATCAACCTACGACAAGCAATGCTAGCACAATATAGAGAAGACCATAATTATATTGCGAGAAACCTCTGTTATTAAATTATATGAAAGAAAATAAAAAAACATAAGCACATAGCGAGAAAATACCATAATTATATGATTTCGTCAAGAATGACGTAAGCTCATGAGATAAGGGATTGAAGATGAATGTATTATTAAATTTGTGGAGGAGCGCAAAATTAATAACAAAACCAATCAAATCCTTTCCCAAAAAACTAACAAGGAAAACAGTGATCATCTCACAGAATTTGGAGAAACCTCTGTTAAGAGAAATATAGAGAAGAAGATTCCTCGCACCAAATCACCAAAAAAAAAAAGAAAGCAAGGGACAAAAGGATTCTCGCTCCTTTCTTTTCATGATCTCAAAAGTAGGTTGTGTTCCTCTTTATCACACCTCATCGCTCATTTAGATAAAGCAAAGATTCCCCTCTCTTAGATGCTCATGATATCATCTATTGACTGTTAATTCGCAAAAATAAAGCAGAATTGATCAGGAACAAAAACCAATGTCAAAGCTTTATATTCCAATACCAAATACCCATATAGATTTAACAGTATAAAAATTCATTTTGGTATTAGCACAAGTACTACATTGGTTATAAAATTTCTATTGACCCCAAGTCACAAAATAAAAAGCAGGTGTGATCTGGTAGCAGAGAGCTGGATTAATGCTTTAATACTATTTACAAAAAAAATCAATTTGTACTTGATATAACATAACAATATGATAATTTTAATTTGGTATTTGCACAAATACATCATTGGAAGTAAGACTTCTACCGGGACTAAATCTTTAAGATTAATTTTAATTTTCTAAATAGTAAAACAACATCAATGCTTCGCACAAAAGATTCATTGGCGCAAATTTTATTGGAAGAGAGTATGCACCATACTGGAAGTTAAGATAGAGACAAAGTCAAATGTTAACTTGCTCCTTAAAATATCAACATTTAACCTATAACCCACAGATTATGGCAACCTCTTGCACCTAAGCACCAAATAAATTGATTGCCATATAAGAGCTTCAAAATATGCTTACCAAGATCAGCAGCAACTCTATGAGCACACATTACTCCAGAAAAAGCAACAGCTATAACTCCTTGTCCTGGAAAGCAGCTGTCGCCAACACAGTAAAGACCACTAACTGCCTGCAGAAACCAGCAGTTTTTGTTAGAATGGAGCCTCTCCAGAAGGCTACAAAATTTGACATAGCTGTTTTACATTGTAAGGCAACGTTTTCTACAGAAGTAAAGAGGCTATATATGCTCACCGTAGTATTAAAAGGCATCCCAAGCAAACCTTTAGGCACCTTTCGTGGCATTGGGCCATAGGTACCACTATCCCTGGCAAGAAATCTCCTATGAGTTTTTGGCGTGCCCACCTGTACAGAAAGATATCATCCTAGATGACCCCTCTTTAAGGGAAGCATAATTTTTTCTCTCTTCATTCATTGCTTTTTGAAAGAAAGAATGCAAACTAAACTAAAAGGAAACTGTACCTAAGTTTTGTAAACAAAAAATACAAGGTAAACTGCTAATCCATTTCTAAGATGTAATATATAGATATTCAAAGTGTAATCATTTAACAGTTTAGCAAGCCTTATAGATAATAATACTAACTGCTTATAGTTATGCAGGTGTCTGCTTTAACTTCTTTAGAGCCTAACTGCACAGTGTTACATACAATCACCAAATAGAATCGCATTGAAGGCATTTTTAGAGTTTTTCTAGAGCTTTTTTGAGTAAAGTCTCTGGCTTTATCCTGAAAATTGGGGAATGATTTCTCAATTGAGTGAATTCCCCAAATTTGCAGAGGAGAAAGCTGTCATAGAGGAGTTCAAAACTCCCCCACAATGGGTCACCGCAACTTGGTACCAGCTCTTTCATTCATTTAAGGATAGAGAATTTAAGTTTGATGGCTATTTGAAGTCAGCAGCTGCAGTTTCATACAGCTGGGAGGCTTTCAGAAGCCATAGCTGGGCAACACAGCCTCTGCGGCATTCATCCAAAAGGGAGAACAATGTATGGGGTTGGGAATGGTTCCTTGGGTGATTCAAGGAATCTACAATAGCAGTTTCAGGTACAAACAACCTGGACAGATCACGGGATACTAGAAGCAATGGATCTCTGTTAAGCCTTAGTGCAAGGGAGGCAGAACCAAATGTGGAGTAATTTACTTCTTGGTGACAACTCGACAGAGAGGGGAGATAAGAGGGTGATTCAGAGACGATTCTCATGAGAGGACTTCTGATGATGGGGAGTGGCCGTTAGTCACTCCTCAATCTCGAGAATGGAGTCATTTTGTTTGATGAGGTTCTAGTGAAGGATAATGGTGACATAAGAGCAGCTGGTGGCGACGTTCAGCACAAGGTAAAGATAGTGGGCATTTGCGCTAGCGGCAATGGTGGAAGAGAGCAAACTGTGACAGGAGGGCGGTGTGATGTTGACTGAGAATCAAAGTAATGCTGGCAAGCAACAGCACAATCTACATATAGAAGTGGATGCGTGCAGTGCTGATTGCACCAGCGCGCAGGTCATTTTATATGGCCAGGACTGGGGTGCAAAAGGGATTGGTGGCTCAGGGGCATCATGTAGGTGGAAAATCAATTAAGGGGCTGTGTTGCAACAGCTAGAAGTGCATGTGATTTGAGCATATTGAGCACTTGCAGCCATAGAAACTGTGGAAGCAATGAAAGAAAACCAGTTCGAGGTGGAATTGTAGGGAAGTCATAAAAAATACAGCGGCAGGGGAATGGAGGTGGAGCAAGAATGCAGCATCAATAATTCTTGTAGCAAAGTGGGGACTTCAAATGACGAACTATTGAAATATGCAAGAACTTCTAGCAAAAACAGAAAAAATAATAAGATGAAAGAAGGCTTCTATTCCTCAGAATATAGTTATGATCTTGCTTGTTTGCAAAATCAATAAGTTAATCCCTGCAACATGCACGGTTTCTGTCGAGAGGCCTAACGGACTGAACTCTCTAGCAGCCTTCAGTATATTGCACAACTTCTTTCTAATAAAGTTGGCAATACTTTTACCAAAGGTTCTATTGCTAATGGTAGCAATATGCCTAATAATCAAAGCAACTTTGAAACTAATACCTCTACAAGTAAAAAAAAGTTCCAACTCTTCACATTCAAAAGGACCAAATTATTCTGGACCTGAGTTTGGAATAAACCTGAACCTATCAAATTGCTTATGTTCAAAGTATTAGTCAAATTTCAAAAGAATGGAGTTAAAGTCACTTTCAATATAGAAGTTGTTCAGGAGAATCTGGATAAGTCTGGATAAGTTAAAGAAGGCTTTGGTTGGAAAGTTACTCGGTAAGAAGGTTCCTTTTTCCTTACTCAAGGCTGAGCTGAACCAAAAGTGGGCACAATTTGGGAAGTTCCAATTAATCCTTGTCGAGATGGATTGTTTTATATGCATTTTCACACCGTAGAAAGGCAAGGATGCTGCTCGTATGAGTGCTCCATGGATGGTTACTGGAAATATTGTTGGCATGGATAAATAGACTCCTCGTTTTTCACCTAATAATATGAACGGCTTCTCCTCACCCATCTGGATCAATTTCCTCGCATGCCTCTCCAATATTGGGACAAAGTAAATATTGCGAGAATCACCACAATGCAAACCTCTATGGCTAGCTGCATACACCAATAATCAGGGGCATAATATGTATGCTAGAATTGGTGTGATAATAAATTAATTATCCAATAAGCTACCTACAGGTGTGTGGATTGAATGTACGGAAGGCACTTTTTTCCAGAGTGTTGAGTCTGCAGGCATCTCCCATATCTTCTTTTAAGTGTGGAATTGTGGGCCATAAGGCCGAAACTTGCCAGAGTTCTGGGTTAGGCAGTATAGAGGACATCAAGCACAACTCCAGCTTACAGGGAGTCAAGCAGCTGGGAGCAGATGAGAGCATTATTTCCAATCATAGAGGATCTCACAATGGAGGAAAAGCTGAGGAAAGCTGAAGTACAGAAATTCCAAAGAGCTTGCCTTTAAAAATCAACCAGATAAAGAGTCAAAGCAACAGGAACTGATTGAAACTGCTGCTACAAAAAGAAACATCAATCTGAAGTGAGAAGGATTACGGAATGGGTCTGTAGTGGAGAAGGATTATGGGATGTGCTGCAGAGTGAAGAGGGGTTGACGGGTTGGCTGTGTCATGGAGAAGGATTACGGTCAGTAAAAGGAGGGGAAGATAGGGGCGGCGGCTGCAGCTAGGCTGTAACAAGGAAAGGTTTCGGAAGGAGGTTTACAGAAGACAGCAGATCTGCTGTCCTTGGCGCTCTCAAGCTAGTACGACAGCAGAAACGAGGGTGTCGAGAAGGGGGAACGTTGAGAATAACCACCACCTCGGAGCGAGAAACAGCCGGAGCAACACTTGTCCTCGAATACAGCTCTGTAAAGGGATAAGAGGGCGCCGCCTGTCCTTGACAGAAATCGAAAAGTGAACTCACAAAAAATAGCCCTAATTCAACAAACACACATATAAATAGAGATGAAATGAGGGGAAACTAAAAAGGAAAGGAGGTAGGGGACCGGTCCAGCGGGAGGCTGGTTTGGGACAGAGCTGGCCGGTTCAGTAAGCCCCTGCCTACAGCCGGTTCAGCCGGCATCCCTAACCAGCCCCGCGTCACAAACTTATTGCCAACAACTGGGATTGTATTCATCAAGCTGCAGAGGGGAAATCTGGTACTATTTCAGTTGTATGTAGAAGGGACATTTTTTGCTTTTGAACTTAAAGCTCTAACTAACCAATGCATCTGTTTTTGGTTGTATCTTCAGTTCTAAATGGAATATTGTTGTTGTTTATGCTAACAAGGAGTATCATATTAGGAGGTTGCTTTGGCAAACCATCTCTAACAATATCAATGCTTCTTTATCTACAATTATAGCTGGAGATTTTAATTATATCTTGAAGCAACAGGATAAGGAGGGTAAGCCTTTTCAATTTTCTATAGGGGCTGAAGAGATGTTAGAGTGACGCAAGAGCTAAAAAACACCCCTGGCGAGGGTGCCCTTGGAGCAGAGCGCTATAAACATGCCAGCCGGCTAAACAGACTGGCCAAAACCTCTGCGAACCAAACCACGGGAAAACCGTGAAGGAGGAAGCAAGATCGCGAAGTGGGATCATGAACCGAATCGCGATCACTAGAATAAGCAGGACTACCGCCCTTCCTCTGGTGCTCTTCTTCTTATAGGAAATTTTAATGGCTATTTTTTTTTAATTCTTCTTGCCTCCTCACACCTTCCATTTGTGTGGGAGTTTCCTTCTTTTATTTCTCTCTAGTGGAAGTCTATAAACTGATGTTTTCTGTTTGCAAGGTTCAATTTGTTTAGCTGTGTTTGTTTTCAAACTTTTTGTAGCGAGTCATTTTCACTCTAGCTAGGAGATGGAGGTGGTCGACGGCTCTGTCACATAACTTGTTGTCCAGCAATCCAGTCCCCTCACTCCACCACCCGTCCTCCTTTTCCCTACAACACTTTTTCAACCTACCAAATAGCCACCCGGCCTTCCCCACCTTACCCTACCACCTAGCCGACGCCAAAACCGCCTACATATCTCCTCCTAAAGCCCCAACTGGAGATTAGTCTATTATTGTATTTCTTATTTTCCATTTGAGTCCAGTCAAAACTCTGAGTTCAATACTAGTAAAGTTTGTTAATGTGTTGTTGTTTAATTCTGACCTAGTTCCGATATCATAGAGTTTATAAGCTCTAATGATCTTCAAGATATGGGGTTCATTGACCCTCATTTCATATGGTGTAACAATAAAGATGGGAAGAGAGTAATATCAAGTTTAGACATGAGGGTACACTTATCAACTCGGCCGCTCTTGATGCAATTCTTAATGCTAAAGTTAGGCATTTGGTTTGAATTGCCTCTGACCATTGCCCTATTATCTTTTCTATAAGGGAAAATACTTCTCGAAAGTTTGATAAGTGGTTGAAATTTGAAGACAAGGATTTCATATTCGTTAGTCTGATATATTGTGCTTAAAAACTGAAGAGGCATGAATATGGTGCAAGTGCTTTGTTCTTTTGGAGCAAGAACAAATTGTGAGAATTTGACACTCTCTAACAAAACTTAAAGAAGGAGATTGAGAAACTGCAGAGGTTTGGAGTGCTCGAGCAAAGGTTTATCCCTATAGCTGAAAAACAATCTTAGATCCAAAATTAATGAGCTTAACTCAACCCTTTCTCAGATTACTACTTCGTGGAGGCAAAGAATAAAGGATATTTGGCTTAATTAGGGAGATGCTAACTCTAAATTTTTTCATACAATTGCTTCTTCCCACCATAGATCTTAATAGAATCTGCCAAGTTAAGCTAGACAATGGTGATATTATTGAGAATAAAAAAAAA